TGCATGATGAGCCAAAATATTTCAAGAAAATAATATCTTGAGAAAAATTTACATAGATTTTAAGAAAGGTAAAAATATTCAAGATTCAAGTAATTATGTAAATGTTACATGCAATTAAGGTAGAACACCCTTAATGCACTGTATCCACTTTGAAGAGTATTCAAATAGGCTTAAATCACTGTAAAGTGTATTGAAACTGAGGGGGCGTGGGTTCAAGCCCCAGAATGGGCAATTTTTTTTCTTTCTTTTTTTTCTTTTTAACATTCTTTATTAATCTCTCTAACCCCCTACGGAAGAAAAAAGTGTTTTATTTTAATTATATAATTATTGTAGTTATTTATTTACTAAATAATGCCAAATTTAATAGCAAATATGATACCAGATATTTTCAAAGTTTAATAAAATAAAAACTAAACGGTAAAAGTATTTTATATTTTGCAAGACCAACCAATATACATTAAAGAAAATTTAATTCAAACTTTGAAAATAGCCCCTCATTTTGGAAAATTTTAGGGATATTTTAAATAAGGCTTTTTACATAAGGAAATGGTCAAATTAGTGTTAAAAGTGGGTGGGGTAGGGTTACATTTTTATACATATTAAAAACATTTCGTTTAAAAACAATCATTTTGCTTGTTTAATTTGTTACCTATATGTCATTGTTTATTTCTTAACAATGAGCAAAAGGAAAACATTTTTCATAATGATGATATTATAGATTATTTAGAGTTTCCTCATTTCTGAAAAAATCCCTTCTAATGGCAAAGTTTTAGTTCATAAAAATGTCTATAACTCATAAACCACACGGTAAATTTTGTTTAAATTTTGCAAACAGGTGACATTTAAGGCATATAACTGTCCTATGTTGTCAAATTTACAATTCCTTATAGTGCCCATTAGGGTTGTACTACCTTAAAGACTGATTTTGCAGCATTTATGACTATATCTTAACCTTAATTTGCGTGTGACTAACGCAGTAAGTACTATTTTACATATTTTGACCTATTTTTGGTAATTTTCATGGACTGTTAGTGCAACATGTAAATACTGTCTTGTTCACCTCAAATGTTACTTTTACAACATAATATGAATAAGCATAAATCGAAACCTGCTTAAAATGAATCATATAAAATAAATTTTAATAGCATGAAAATAATTCATTGCCTTATCAAGCCATCAAATACAGTCAAACATGTATTAAATGCAAATATTTACCGTATGTGTCTTATTTAAAGTAGTATTTATCAATATTATATAATTTAATATTAACAACATTTTCATACTAAATGACAATAGAACATAATTATAATATATTTCTTGAATATTAGACAGACTGCTTATAAGACGGACTACCTATAAGACGGACTACCTATAAGACGGACTACCTATAAGACGGACTACCTATAAGACGGACTACCTATAAGGCAGGGTCTTAATTTTATACTCAATTTGGTATCATTTGCCATTAACTCTGGTCTTTTTTCAAGAGACCTCGTGATCCCATAACAATATAAAGTGTATAATATAACCATTTAGAATGAACTTTTTTTTTCAATGAATACATTTAAAATATGCATATTAAATCAAAGCACAGATAACAAGAAAATAGAGAATATCTATGGAATGCTTTAGCAACAAATAAATGAGTACATAAGACATGATAACAACATAAGCAACTATGACATGGATTTATATTTAGTTAATTGCACTAGAGTTTGTTTTATATAAGTACATGTATATTGACTATGTTAATATAGTTTTCTTGAAGTATCAGATAATGGATCTAACCTTCTGATACATTATTCATTATTTGACTTTCACTACCCCTCCCAGCCCCTTTGAAAAATATAACGCCCCCAGGGAAGTTTATTTGTAATCTGATTAAAGTCAGCTCTAAATAACGCTCCGCTTTTAGATCTGAGCGTGACCATATACGAAATTGTTTCTGGTGACTATTCACACAGCCAATCATCGGCGAGCTTTCATCATTTTGAAAGCGATGTGGTTTCTAATTTTAACCCTCGGAAAACCAATACTGAGTAGGTAATTTTCATGATTTCGAGAACAAACATGGCGTTGTCCATATAGCCGAAGATGCAAAAACACTATTAATCTGTACTATTATATATGACAAAATTATATTTTAATCAAATCCTTTCTTAAAAGACTTGTAATACATACAACAAAAGATGTTATAAGAACACAATATGGTTTTAGCAACTGTTCTGAATATAGGAGACTAGAATTTACCACACAATAATTCGAAGGATATACAAAATTTATAGGCAGTCTAATCTCATTTAAATACATTTCCCCCCAACATATCTGATTTCTTCTTCTCATCATGTTTTATTTAAACTTTAATACTAATGTAACTAACTTCCTATCTTACAGCAAAGGGTAACGCTCCCTCATGCAAACATTTTCCTTAAAATGTGATGTCCAACTCTTCAAATGAATGGGAGGGCTGTTGTCTTATCAACTTTAATTGATCTGAGGGCTTTTGGCTTCTGAGAACATTTGCCAACTATGTCATTTTTGAATGGTAGGATATTTTTCCAGAAGGGTTTTTCTCCATCCCTACTCCCCCTCAGTCAGTGCTTGAACTTGTTCGAGCAACATAAATACTTATAATAGAATTAATGTCCCTAGCTACTGACTTGGCTGAAGTCTAGATACTTAGACTAGCTTTGAGGTTTTGATAACAGTTTACACAATATTTTTTAATTGATAATGCCTCATATATATCTATTCATTGGTTTGAACCAGTAGTTGATTTTTTTGCTCTAAAAGAAAATTACAAACTACAATAATTCTTTCTATTCAGATACTTTGATATGATTTTCAACATGATACAACCAATTATTCTAGCTGGAGTTACAGACAATCTAAAACCACACTATACCCTCCAACTTTTCAACAATAAAAATATCCAATTTCCTGGACTGACATAATACCTGTATTAGTACTTTCAATGAGGAGAATGTACAATGTACATTGTTGTAAGCCAAGGTCAAACTTTATACTAATATTCCCTAAAATAACTAATGGACAATATCATAACACCTTGGCTAAGGTTTTCTATTATTTGTTACATCTAAAGTTTAAAACCATCAAAATTTTAGCCCATTCAAATTTCACTTAAGTAGCAATTCATGGATTACATTTTTGTTGTATGCCAGGAAAAAGGATATATCCTAGCAACAGATGCATGTATTTCCTTCTTTCATTTTCCAGTTATACATAAACTATAACTAATTTAATGATGCCATTTTACCAGCACTTGTTTAAAGACGGTAATAATACATGATTTGACAATCCAATATATTAATAATAATTTCATGAAATGTGAATTATATGTCATTTTATAATCTATAACCAAAAATAAACATGCAGATCTTATTTAGTAGACTATAGCATAGCCAAGAGTTAAAATCATGTCTAGAAAATTAAATATACTATACTGAAGAAAAGATCATATTTTAATGGGAAATTTAAATGTTAAAACATAGTTAACACATACTTAAGATGAAAAAAAATCAAGAATATACAGATGAGATTAATTGTTAAAAAGGGACATAACTCCAAAAATATTGCTTTCAGAGTTATGCCCCTTGTCTAACAAATGCACCTTGCCACGATAGGCAAGTATTCCAAGTTTCAAGTTGTCAACTTGTTTTAAATAATGGGCTACATTCAAGTTTATGCACGACTACGAGGCTACAGCCATCGTAATAGCTTGACTTTTACTTTAAAACGTACCAGCTAAAAATCTGTCTTGATTTTACCTGAACAACAATCATTATAGCTAACATTTTTCTCTTCACAAATGACAATGACAACAAAAACAGCAAATTTGATGGGTAAGGCACTGTGTGAAAATAACCGATATGTTTAAATCATTTTTGTAAAAAAAAAATCTAAAATAAACTAATTAAAACAAAAAAATCTAAAATAAACTAATTGATAATCTTAAAACCTCCTATTCCAATAAGTTGTAGTTTGATGTATATAAAATATAGTATGCCATTTAATGAAAAAACATTTTCAAGTATATATTTCGTTTATGAACACTAAAACTCATAAAGTATTAAAAATTACCAAACTGTTACTAAAAAATTGGGCAATAACAGTATCAAAACCGTCTCAACAAATTCTAATATTTATAACCCCCTGAGTAATTTCTTATTTGACTATATGAATTCTAATGTGAAGTTGTTATTTGAAAATTTTAACACATAAAACCCAAATTTAAAAGAAGTTTGTTCTTATTCACCAGAATGTGTTACAGTTTCCATCTTGAGGAAATTATTTTAAAAACTTTCCACTTATACGATTTGCATTTTAAAGGGAAATATCTATATAGATAAGAACTTACAAAAACAATTTCCAGATTTTAAAAAACTAAGTCAAGGGACAAACATAAATTATATGGAATTAGTCTTCTAGAGATATTTAACTTTTTTTCTCAAAAAATTTCCTATTTTTAATAAAAACAAATAATGTTAATTTACTTTAGATTCTTAATTAAAAACAAAGAAGTTCCACTTAAAAAAAATTGACAATAACCAATTTTTTTTCCCCTTTAAAAAAATCTTAAGTTTTCAAGATATATGATATAATTGAATTTTCCTTTATACAATCTCTTGTACAAAACAAACTGAAAATAAACAAATTCTATGACTCACAGAAACAATGCGCATTTTAAAGCATTGAACTTAATAAAACTTACTGAAAAAAAATACATGAAAAACAATAAATAATCCAGAAATATTAACTATCACATATTTAAATGCCCTAGCAAAAATTTTCAAAAAAGAAGTAAATATGATTGTGCATAAATCTAACAGACCATCTAAATTAAACCTATTCCAATTCAAAAAAATATTTTTGCCATACAGAAAACTAGGTTTACAGTACTGTTCTATATTAAAGAAAAGGCCTTTAACTGTGTAAAGAAAACCACACATGTAATTTATTAATTTGTTTTATAAATTGCCATATTTTCAGACTATTTGTTGCCATAGCAACCAGAATTTTCAACATAGGAAGAAAAAAAAAAGACGTGCATAATCTCCATACTGCCATCTATCCATATATCAAGTTTCATAAAAATATTTTCAGTACTTTTTGCATTATCGCGGGATCCAGTTTTGTGGACTGACGGACTGACAGACAGACGGACAGACAGACAGACAGACAGACAGACGGACAGACAGACGGAGGGTTAACCTAAAGTCCCCTCCGGTTAAACCGGTAGGGGACTAATTACCATAAACTGGTTACTAAAAACATTTGGACATATATAAAATATAAAAAAATAACCACAAATTACAATATTTATAAGCCTTAGGCATATGCAGTATCAATTTTCTTTATGCTTGACATATAAATCAAATGTTGCAAAGTTGTTATTTTATAATTTTAACACATAAAACCAATTTTACACAGAAACTTAGGTTCTTATTCCCTAGAAAGTACCATGCCTTTCAACAATCACTTGAGGTAATTTATATAGATTTCAGAAAAAAAATCCTTTTCATTCAACATATCAATTACTCAAATAGGCAAATATTATTTGATCCAATTTAAAATACAACAAACCATTACTCAGATTTTAAGTACAAAATGTCTAGGACAAAAAATAGTCATAACAACATGACTGTATAATTTAAAGTCATAATCTATAAAAAAAAAAAATACATTTAAACATACTTTCACATCTTCTTTTTACAAAAGATTACCAAAATAAGTTTTTCTTCTGTTATTTTTTATTTTTCAATTCTTAATAAAACAAAAACAAAAGTCTGACTGTACAAAAATAACCTGACTGTTTTTCCCCCTATTTTACATAAAGATACTTATGTTTTGCAAAGTATGTTTATTATAATTGAAAATTTTCCTTCTACTACAATGTACATACCATAAAACAAACATAAACAACATAAAACAAAACAGAAAAATTAACAACAAATTCTACTGACCTCATCAGCATTAAAAGCATAACAACAATAGACCGGCAATATTTACAGCATTGAACTTAAACAAAATTACTGAAAAAAATACACATGAACAATAAATAACCCCACTGAAATATCTATATCTATACACCATTTAAATGCATCAAAACATTTCTGTAAATACTGACTTCAGTGTCAAAAATCTCTGAAACAGAAACCAGTCTAAAATTCAAACACCTGATTGGCTGCTTCAAAAAAATATTTGAAATTTGACCAATAGCAGAAAAGCAAGGTTTACAGACTGGTTCTCATCTCAAAATATAATAATGGGACCAGGTGGTTAATTTGTGAAAACCCGACAAACTATATAACATGTATAAAGAAATGAAAGAATACCCATTACAAAGTTAATTAAATTTCGTTTTTTTTTTATTTTATTTACATAAATATTATGGCAGCTTGTTATTATTTACAATATATACATTTTTAACATACAATAAGTCATTTCTTTATAGATGCATTTTTCAGTTTGGAATTTAAACCCTTCAGAAAATCTCAAGTACCTAAGTACTTAATATTTTTTCTGCTTTTTCAAGCACATTAAAAAGAGAAATTAATATTTGCTAACCAGGAAAGAGAGCTTTCAAAGTGCTAATTTTTATGTTTTATAAAACAGGGGAATATACAGTAAAGAATAAAGTAATTTAAATATGTGCACAAGATTTTTTTAAAACTTTAAAGGTATAACAAGTTAACATTTCTTAACTTCATAATAATTCTTATAATTATATTTTTCTGTAGTTTTAAGTATTTACAGCACAAGGTAAAACTGAAAAATTATTTCTCTTAAGATAACACATGATTTGATATATATCCAAACATGTTTTTTTTATTATCATTATTATTATTATTATTTCCTTATTAATATAAAAAAAATTTGAGTGCAAATTCCATTAATAGATACATGATTTTAAACAGGAAATATCTTTTAGGTAAAGTGATCTATTTATGTGTATCATCAGATACATTGTATAACATCAATATACCAAAAACACTTACATAAATTCCTTCTTCACTCCATGAAGTTTAACAATGTTGTTTTTTTAATTAATTCCCTATCCAAGAGTATATTATAAATAACAAATCCAAACTTACAACATAAATTGCCTAATTTGTAACTTTGTAAGAAATGAATAAAAAATGTGCAGCTGAGAACATTACTAAGACATTACACTAAGTGCTTATTAAAATCAATCCACAAGTAAGTTGTGCTGTGGTGTGACTCGTGCTGAGTGTTACACAAATGTTAACTAGTGCGACACTCAAAGAGAACAACATGTGTGACATGCTGAGTACGATAAAATTCTGTGACACTCCTCCAGATTGTAACTCACAAATTGTTGCTCCCATTGAGTGTGACATGCTGAGTATGACAAAATTCCTGTGACACTCATAGAGTTTGGGACTCACAAAATGTTGCTCTCCAGATTGAGTGTGACATGTTGAGAGTAACGCACATGGTACAATGTGACACACAATGAGTTCGGGACTCAAAAATCGTTGTTCTCACTGAGTGTGACATGTTGAGAGTAACGCACATGGTAAATTGTGACACATGTTGAGTTTGGGACTCACAAATCCTTGTACTCATTGTGTGTGACAAGTAGAGAGTACCACAAATGATAGAATGGGACACACACACACACACATACGCAGAAAAATCCTTGAAGATAACAGATCACAGATGAGCTCTATCACACAGTTGGCCTCTAATAGTCATATGGATAAACAGCCTTGAGCCAAGGTCGAGGTAAGTACTGGGCACCGTCAAACTTTTCGAAATATTCCTCTATACTTGGATGAAGAATCTGAAATAAGATGAGAATTTGATACATTTATAAATATATCAATGAAATCATTAGATTTGAATGTCTGATGACTTGTATCTCAAAGGAAAAATAAAGTTTTATGAAAAAAGACAAGCTCTTGCTCTTTACCACTGTGGGCTTAATTGAAGGCATTGACATTATCTTTTATATCATTATGAATTTGAATTTTGAAGTCCTTGCATGACTTAGAATCACAGCAGTGGGAGGCAAGTGGTAAGAAGTCAAAAATCTTAACAACTAAGCCACAGACACTCAATTTCTTGGCCACACACCCCTTCTGAGATATCAATCATTACAAAAAGGTGATGTGAGGAAAGATTATAAAGTATGACAGAAAGAAAAATTATTTTATATTTGGTTTAAAGGCACAACAAAATGTTTGGTTTTACGGCATATCGAACAATTTAGGCAATATGGCTGAAACATGAAAGATGATTTTGGCTAACTTTGGATGTTACAAACTTAAAGCAACACCAGGGTTCAAAATCACCCGGCCTACAGGAGCTAAGAGATGCATAGACTCCAGCAATTCAAACACATTTAGTTGTCTCTTAATAATAAATGGTGGCTGCAATTCTAATGACTCAACCCTTAAAGGTACACACAAGGGAATTGAAAGAAAGAAGAGAAGGACAGTATTGGCAACTTTTATGATCCACCTAAAAAATTGAGAGCATAAAAATAATGTGAATAATGTTAAGTTACATACCTGCATATTCACAACGACCTCTAAATTTTCTTGTGGCACATAAGTTATCTGTGGGGCTAGCCTGTCTCTTGTGTCAACTATAATTGCATAGTTAGGCTGTGTTCTCCAATGCTAAATTAAAATGTTTATAACAATAATTATTTATAATAATCAAACTAGAACTGCCACTATCATGGCGTGAATACCCCCGCATACCACTTTGTCAGAATCATCAGTGGCCATTTAGAGCTCAAGGACAACCTCCCTGCCAAATCTGAGGTTACAAAGCCAGTGCATTGCTAAGTTATGTATTCTACATGCTTCAAATGTGAAAATGTCAAAATCAATACATTGCGGACAGGACATTCTTTAGCAATTGTGAAGAAAAGCTTTTTTTTTGTCAAGGTCCCTGTGACCTTGACCTTTGACCCAGTGACCTCAAAATCAATAGGGGTCACCTTATAGTCATGATCAACATCCATGCCAAATATGAAGACTGTGGGTCAAAGGAATCTTAAGTTAATGGGTGGACAAACTTTTTGAAGTCAAAGTCCCTATGACCTTGACCTTTGATCCAGTGACCTCAAAATCAATAGGGGTCATCTACTAATCATGACTAACCTCAATGCCAAATATGAAGACTATGGGTCAAAGGAATCTTAAGTTATTGGGCGGACAAGCTTTTTGAAGTCAAGGCCCCTGTGACCTTGACCTTTGATCTGGTGACCTCAAAATCAATAGGGGTCATCTACTAATCATGACTAACCTCCATGCCAAATATGAAGACTATGGGTCAAAGGAATCTTAAGTTATTGGGCAGACAAGCTTTTTGAAGTCAAGGCCCGTGTGACCTTGACCTTTGACCTGGTGACCTCAAAATCAATAGGGGTCATCTACTAATCATGACTAACCTCCATGCCAAATATGAAGACTAAGGGTCAAAGGAATCTTAAGTTATTGGGCGGACAAGCTTTTTGAAGTCAAGGCCCGTGTGACCTTGACCTTTAACCTGGTGACCTCAAAATCAATAGGGGTCATCTACTTATTATGACTAACCTCCATGCCAAATATGAAGACTGTAGGTCAAAGGAATCTTAAGTTATTTGGCGGACAAGCTTTTTGAAGTCAAGGCCCGTGTGACCTTGACCTTTGACCTAGTGACCTTAAAATCAAAAGGGGTCATCTACTAATCATGACTAACCTCCATGCCAAATATGAAGACTAAGGGTCAAAGGAATCTTAAGTTAATGGGCGAACAAGCTTTTTGAAGTCAAGGCCCTGTGACCTTGACCTTTAACCTGGTGACCTCAAAATCAATAGGGGTCATCTACTAATCATGACTAACCTCCATGCCAAATATGAAGACTGTAGGTCAAAGGAATCTTAAGTTATTGGGCGGACAAGCTTTTTGAAGTCAAGGCCCCTGTGACCTTGACCTAGTGACCTCAAAATCAATAGGGGTCATCTACTAATCATGACTAACCTCCATGCCAAATATGAAGACTAAGGGTCAAAGGAATCTTAAGTTATTGGGCGGACAAGAAAAAACCGACGGACGGACGGCCGGACGGACAAGCTGATTCCAGTATACCCCCCTTACAACTTTGTTGTGCGGGGGTATAATAATAACAACATCATTGGCATGGAAATTAGTTAAATTAATCAGTACTTAGATATTTTATTACAGAGAAGAATATTTGTAACCAAAAACAGTTACACTATTTTGAATATTGAAAGAAAATTATTGTGTTTATGATATTATGTGTATAATTATCTACAAATGCACCTTATGCACAGTCACCTTAAAGCAATAACTGATTAATTCCTATTTAATTTAGAAGAACTGTCACTGCACTAAGGTGATGAGAAGGGAAAAAAAACTATTTGTTTAGATTTGCTTCAATATCCACAACTTCATTAAATAGCTACAATGGGCCTTAAATATATCAATTGAACAGAACTATGCATACAATGGTACCTAGTGGTAGAAGAAGTTATGCCATGAAAAGGGGGAAAGCCCTCGAGAGCAGTAAAAAAAAAAAATGGGTGATCATTGCTGCTGACACAGTATTATCAATTGATGTCTGTTCATAAGAGATACTGAATAATGTAAAGTGCCATACTTCGTTAAATATTTCATTAGAAAAAATCTCTGAATCATATTCAAAGCAAACATACTGTATATTACCTCTAATAAACCCCCTTCCCTCTTTTTTATGACAAAGAAAATAAAACAGTGTCACCAAGATGATAGCATTTTTTTAAGCCCAAGGAAATAAGCACAATTTTTTTGTAACACACCCTGTTATGCCAGTATATATATTACAACAAATAAACAGTCTTTCTAGTTTGACAATATTTAACCATTTTTGGCACTTTTAATTAATGTCCCCCATAGCCCCATACCCAGAAAATGTAACACAAGGGAGTGTTTATTATAGAATATACTGTATTCAATGTAAATTGTCAAAGCATGCTGTTCAATATTTCATATTCGAAACATTTTTATTCTTTACCTCCATTCCTGGCGGGTGATTATTTTTTATCCAATACTCTGGAGCCTGAAATGTCAATATCTTATACATTATACATAAACAATAATTTATTATATTGTTGATATGCAAACATTCCATGAATATAAATGACAACAGGTGTGATATATGAAGTATCTATGAAATTTAATCAATATCCATTTATTTATATTAATTCCCTCGCGTCAACAGCAAGGTAAAGCAATAGACTCAGGTAACTTAGAATCCCAGATTGATAACAATACATGTATATATTTTATATGGACACAAAGATTGCAGGCTTAAAAGTGTATATAGCTTGATATCTGCTGCAAAATTTAATGTTGAATTTTTAAAAAGAATACTTCCAAAAATTCTCTTAAAAACGAATGGCGTATGCAAAAGTTTCTGAATTTTTAATATTATGCAAAAAGCTTAAGAAAGTGTATTAATATCAATTTAGATCTTTCAATTTCAATATTATGACAAATTATGCTCAGAAATATCCTACCATAACATTATTTTTTCATCCCTCAAATTATATATGTACATGTATGACCTAAAATGATGGACACTTTAGTACTTACCTTAGCAAACTCGTCCCAGCCTACTATAACACCTCTATATCCCCATCTTTTATGTTTAACTACTTGTCCTATACGATATTTCACTTCTGGTGGTCTGTAAGTCCTCGGTTCTACAGATGCTGTAAACAATATTGTCCCATTATGTAGTATATGTCAAATATTACATAAATTTTGTGTTTTATCAAATGTGAACCCTATTGTATTTTGGTGAATGACTTGCAAAGATATGAGTCTTAAGTTCAAGGTATTTCATTATCAAGACACAAGCACTTTACAGACCTCCATTTAAAGTTGCAGTGAGTCTCCACTGATTACAGGCATGGGTATAGACTGGTGGCATAAGAAGCTAGGCCTATGATAATTTCCACCTTTTTATCCTTTAAAATGTTTAAAGCTGATTTAATGAAATTTAAGAACAGCATGTTAAGCAGTCATGGTAATTCACATGCGAGCATTTGAACTTAAATGTACATTATCATTAAAATTAAGGACCACTTGGTTTATAAGTCTTTTTACAGATACTTCATCATTCTTACTTTATTTTTCAAGTAACAAAGCAGTGATTGGCCTTGCAACATATCAATCATAAAAAGCAAATTAAAAAAAAAAATTTAAAAAGTTTTTTTAAAATCGTCACATTAAAAACATCAACCAGTACAATTCAATTTTTTATTTATTTTTTAAAACCCCCATAAAAGGAAAACAAAAAAAGTTGTTTCTAAAACCCCTTTAAATTGCTGAAAATTTTGTAATGGATTTTCCCTGCTTTGAATTTAAAACCAATCCATTTAAATTTAAAGGGGTTTATATAAAATTCAAAAAAACTAAAGCTGCCCCAAAAGTATTAACCTGGCAGGCTGCCCTGGGGCTGGCCCCCAAAAACTGGGGGAGCAAAGGGGAAGTTCACGAAAATCATGGGGTGGAAATAGTATAAAAAATGGTAGTAATACATGGTTGTTATTTATAAAATTTTAAGGGTTTAAATCAGCATTCTTTTTTTTTCCCCCTTAACATTCAAAGAACCAAAATTTTAAAAACTAACCCCCGTCCCTAGAATGGCCAAATTTCGTTTATTTCCAAAAAATTTAAACTTAATTCCAAAAGTTAAAAAAGTTTGAAGCTTATAGACAAACCCTTTTAAATCCTTCCTGGAACCCAAACCCAAATACTGAGCAAGATTGTAAAATTTTTTGTTTAAAGGAAAAAAACAAAATTGCCTGATGGATTTGAACCCATAGGCTAGCATCAAATTTAAATTAAATTTTCAGACGTGTTAAGTACTTTTGGGCATTCCGCCAAATTTAGGGAAATTGGCCCTTTAGATTTAAGGGAAAATATTAAGAAATTTCCTTTTTAAAAAAGCCTTTAGGGGGCCATGTGGGTTAAAAGACTTCAAAAAAGCCGGGGGTTTCCCCCTTAGGATCATCTTGACCCTCAAAATTTTTGGGTGGGGTTTTTATATGGTGTTTTTTGTTAAATTAAATTTTCTTTTACACACCAAATTTCCCTTAGGGTTTCCAAAGAGAAATAAAACATCAGTTAACCTGAGGCTTCCCTTTTTCAAAAATGCAAAAAAAAATTTTCAGGAAAAAAAGCATTCAGCTTAAAAATAAAAGAAGCCAAAAAAGTGCTAAGATTTTAAGAAAAGTAAATATACTTACATTTAAAATAATAATTTACATAATTTTTTTATTACATGTATTTTATAAGCAATTCATGAATACTAGTAACTGATTTTGCAGTATGCATCACCATATTTCTACTGCTTGACTAACACATTATTAAGTTGTTTTTGTTTTTTTTCCACATTTTAACATTTATTTGTTTGTTTATGTTGTCTGAATGTGCCATTTGCAATGTGCGAATTACTTTCTTTGTTCACTTTAAAATACTTTGCTTTTTAATTCATTTTCAAAATTTTCAAGAAAAAATAGCTAATAGGCAAACTGCTTTAAAATTACCACATATCTCTCAATAAATAATAGTTAAATGATCATGTATATAATAAATTACAAACAGTAGAAGTACTCTTAAAGTTAAGCTATAGCTGATTGTTTTTAATAACGTGCTAATGACTTTCATTACAATCAAGTTTGATTAATACTAAGATGGATTTTAATACAGATTGTATAATTGTAAGCTTACTTTCTGATGGCGTAGCTTCTCTGAGATTCTGTACTAAACATCCACTGTGAGACTAAATACTGTACCGGTACCGCTAACAGCAATACACCTAACTGTAAACCTGCCCGTCGGTCCATGACATCAGGTGTGACACTGAAACTGTTAACATTATATACATCTTCTTTTTTTATTAGTTTTAAGTCCCATTGGCAGTGTTAAAGTTGTTGGTGGCTTTCATACATTGTACAAGACTGAGATAAAAAGTTAAAAGCAAAGTTGAATCAGAACTGGTAAAAAGGATGCAGCTGCCCAGTAAAGAGGTCTTAATTAGGACTAGCTTGTAAAGACACAGGTAGGCCATTCCACAGACGAATACTTCTGAGGGAAAATGAATAGGAGTGGTATTGTGTCCTTGAGTATGGTATTAGGTAGTTCAGGTTTCTAGTGGGTGTCAGGTGGTGATGGACCACCCTCACAAGATTGTGTTGAATTTTGTAGAGTAGGGTAACAGACCTGATGTTGCGCCTCTGCTCTAGAGTTTGCCAATAAAGTTCACCCCAACTTTTTAAAATAAACTACGGGGTGTAATTGAAAGTCATTGATACTATTTTGGAAAGCTAAACCTTGAAAAACTTGTTCTATTTGAAAACCCAAGATATTTTTCCCTGGGAAATGCCAAACCGGGAACATTATTCAAAAACGGGGGGCCTTTAAACATGGGTTTTTGAAAAGGCAGTTTTTTTTACCCTTTTTTTTTTGAATTTTTAACACTTTTTTTTAAAATTAATCTAGTGAATTTTTTCCTTTTGCTGTAATGTTTGAATATAAATTGGTCCAAATAGATTTTTTACTAATTGTTAAAACCCTAAAATTTTGCACCCTAGTGGATTTTAGATATTTACCATGTAATTATAAGGGAATAATACTGGACGTTTTTTGGGGCTGATACTAAGGACTTCACATTTATCTGGGTTTAATTCCATGGGCCAATCAGATTCCCAGTTTTCAAGACTGTTGGTAAAGTTAGTAAAGATATTAATTATTTATTTACTGGAAAATATATTCAAGCTGTGTGGGCTAGGATTCAAATTCAATTTTTTTAAATGTCAAAGAAAACAATCACCAAGAGAAAATGTGAAATGACAACACTTCTTAGAGAGAGAGAGAATAATGATGTTGTATAGCTGCCACAAACAGCGTTATTTTCATTAGCCAACGAAAATACATGCAACATAAACACACCTGCATAATGCAGTGATTAATCTAGATGTGCGTCCTGCGTAAAATACGCATACAAATCGAAAAAGACGCACAGTTTCATAATTTGAGCGTTCAAATTGACACATGCAAATCTGGTAGTTTATAATCCAAAATATCAGAATTAGTGATTTCTATGTACCGATTGGTAGTTTAATTTCATCAGTTGAATAATTTATCAATTTCTTCAGTTGAATAATTTAATTTCTGATAATTACAGGTGCAAGGCTCGTCCCCCATTTGCTTAAAACATTGAATCCCAAACAATTGTTGCTTGTGATCTGTAACCGCCCATTATCGGCATTAGCCAATCAGAGTGACCCTTTTGCATGAGAGTGAATCGTATACAATGGTGAAATATGCAGAGATTTGCCTGCGCCATTGGTAACAGGTTTTAATGAAGAGTTTGTAGTAGAACTTATATAGAATCTATATAGATTTAATAACATAAGGAGAGATTCCCTGTGGGTAAATGTAAATTGAGCTTGCTTTGAGGCTTTGACTTTTTTCATATATTAAGGCCAACTCTACTGAGTTTGACAACTCTGCATTTAAAAATATGCAGTCTTTACTTATAAAAATGGAGAATTTAGTCACAGTGGAAACGTCAGCTGCACGTAACGTATTTGAAGGGGAGAGACTTATAAGTTTCCCTCAGTCAATGTAACATCAACTTGATCAGGGATTTTTTCATTCATTTTTAAAAAGGCACATTTTAAAAACACGCTAAATGTCAAGAAATACTGTTCTTTTTACTACGTTATTCTCACCTTGTCGGTAGCACTTGTCAATTCTTTAATTCCACCTGTAAACACAAATTATATAAAAAGTCTCAGAACTATTTTGGGCCACGAATAATTGAGCTGTTTTACGGCAAATAAATTACGACAATATGAACATTTACCTAATCGACGGTCTCCGGTCTTCGACAGTCTCCGGTCTCCGATCTTCGACGGTCCCCGGTCTTCAAAGACCGTCAATGAGGAGACTGTCGATTAGTATAATAATATCGATGATGTTGATGATATAATAAAGATATTAGATCCTAAAAGAGAAAAGAAAATACAAAAAAGAGAAAAAAGAGAATAAACAGCAGTGATCTAGCTACTAATCTTGTTTCTGCAATGTCAATGATCCAAAAAAGTTTCACTAATTATATAAAAATTATATCTCATTTGTGATCTTCTTCGCTGCCATACTAAATAACCTTATTATAATGGAAAGTTTGAAACAAAAAACAGGCTAATACATGTATACATACCCGATTTTTCAAATGTCACGTAGTTCTTATGATAACTCAGAAGATGTCCTAGAGGTCTTACTGTAAAGTCATTATTATTCATGGGACACGAACTTTCGTGGTTTTCGTGGGTAGGTCAATCCACGAATTTAAGATCCGACGAAGTTTTATCCCAGCATATACTTCTTACAATGTCTCTATTATATATAATATAAACATGTGTCGGCGCTTTTCCGGCCGATTTTTGTGCCATGAATGTATACAGTCAGATAATCAGGAAAGTGACAGATTAAAGCATAAACAGTTTATGTTTCAAATATTTAAGAAACTTGAAAGATAAGTCGATTATAATAATTTCCTCAGTTTGCTGTCACAAATGTCGGTCGCATAAATACATCATAGGGAATGCTTGATCGTTGTAAGCTTGATTGTGTTAACTTGAATACTTGACATAATCGAGTAAATATGGGAACCCATTGCAATAATTAGCGCTAATAAAATTGTTAGTTTGTTCTTATTAAATAAAAAAAGTCTTTGATATTAATGTCGTAAGTACACATTATATTTTTATTGTAACAAGAAAATGAAAATCCACGAATTTAAGAACCCACGAAAATGCCCGTTTTGATAAACCGGGAAATATCATGCCCACGAATATAAGTGAATTCGCAGTATTATAACTTCTCTATATTGTAAGTGTATTTATTGTGCTAAGTTACGGCACGTTTTACTGTATTTGACAAGTGTGAAAAGTGAAAATCATTTTGAAGCGGATTCTTATATTTCAATATATTTCATCGTCAAATTGTCTATCTAATTTGGGTTGAGGACTGAATCCTCTCCATAGTGGCATAATTTTTTGTTGCTGTTTTTTTTCTGCCGAAAAGGCGCACGTGCATATATAATGTTCATTTGTTGTGAAAATTCTGAAAGTTTCTCAAAAAAAAAACATTCCAGAAAATACAAAGAAAATCAATGAACGTACGGATTTATTTTTCCTGGGATAATTCTTCCAGACACTCCTACAAGAAAGGATCATCCCCTGGATGCTCACCTGACACGACACTCCACCCTCGTACACGTGGTATGGGCTTCAAACTAAATCTCTCGTACGTTGGATTCGGCCCTTGATGGAACCTATTTATGTAGAATTAACGATCCATAGTCTCCTTTTCATTTTCAAATAAAGTTTGCCTACGGTAAACTTGTATTAATATATCTATGTGATTTCTTCAAAAAATAATTTACTGGTATATTCCGATAATTTGTTGAAAATGATGTAGAGAAAATATGAAAACTGATTGAATTACCCGGAGAATTATAGCATTAGAAAATATTTTTCCACCGAAGTTTATTTAAGTGGTATCTTACCCAAATAATATTTAATTATTGACAGGCAGTTATTTCTTATCAATTTATTTAGTACGCTTTGTTAAAATCTATAGCAAGGCAGTTAAAGAAACATAATTTCCAAACTCATAATTATCAATTCAGTGACAGAATATTTATATTTTAAAACTAAATCTACAGTTTTTTACATTATTATCTTTCTTTAAATACAAAGTAAATTATAGTTGTTATAAAAATTAAAATGATGCATATCTAAATTTTTCCAATATTTTCAATAATTAAGATATGAGCTGTGCACTCATTACTAGAAATAAGTAATTTTGTTTTCTTTTTAAACCCAAAGCATAGTTTCAAAACATATACTGGTCTAAAAGATGAAAATTTAAGATTCGTATACATGTATCTATCATTACTACAATGAAGAAATACCATGTCAAGCTACATCATTTTAACTTCTAAACCTTAATTTCTCGTTTTAAAATGTTGTTGTAAGTTAAATTCAAATCTAATTTAAACACATTTTTGGCTCTTTTTGTGCATATTTGTAACATTGTATTATTAAAATATTTATAAAAAAAAGGAGCAAAAAAGTTGAATCACAGCTTTTTCCAAAGTGTCGGTAAACGGCTTTTCCTTTTAAATCTACAGGACTGGTCTTAGAATTCAAGATTCTATATTGGTTCCATATCAACTTTTAATTCTTAAATTAACATAGATAAAGCTAACTTTTATGATCGTTATACTGTTGTTAGTGGGAAATGAAGGGTTTTTGAAAATTCGGGGCATTTATTAATGTGTCTTTGGAAGAATGTCAACGACAGAAATGGAGATGCATGTGCTGATTGTACATATGTCTAGCAGATCTAACGTTTATAGTAGGAACTTTTCTTGGTTAAGGTATGACACACCCCCAACCGCTAATGCATTACCTCCGCTTTATTTGAAGACAATTCAAATAGGCTAGAACTGCTGTCAACTGTCAACTACATTGAAACTGATGGACGTAGGTTCAAACCCCAAAAGTGGCAACGTTTTTCTTTCTTTTTCTTTCAACACCATTTTTGTATCTTTCAGATCCCTCTTGGAAAAATGTGTTTGATTATATAATTACTATAGGTATTTAATTATTGGCTAAATATTTGCCATTTAACAACAAATATGTCTCACATTCATTGACTTTGTGAACTATTTTCCCGTGTATCAACTATTTAGCCAATAGAAGGGCAAAATTACAAAAGATATTTATCAAATGTTTGGTTTATCACAAAATGTGACTTTCCCTGTCTAGATATATATACATGTAGAATTTAGATGTTTGAAAATATTTATCTATATTTTTTGAAAACCTCTATAGATAAATCCATTGAAAAATAGTAAATTTAGCTTCTATCCATCACATGTCAATTAGGTCCGTGGTGATAACATATAAATCTAGAATAAATTTATAAGTCTAGATCTATTGTGTAGATCTAAACTTCTTGAAATCGAACCACTCTCTATATTTAGATCTAATATTCTGTAATATAAATCTCAGGTCAAGTAAACCTAAGATCTATGCAAACATCAAAAGTAGATTTTGATCATGATAATGCCTAATCACTTTAGTCTGTAAAACATAGAAAAGGAAATAATGGCAATATCAAAAATCGACTCCGTAAAAATCTGCGAGTGTTCCTTTTACTCCGTGTCATTTCGAACGCTACTCCGCGTCAATGGGAACGCTGATGTCCGAATATTGGTCACGTGATTATCCGCCATATTGTGGTGGAGGAAGCTGCAAAAATTTTTTACTGACATTTTTCATGAAATCAAGAACTTCTTGGCCTCAACATGGGTAAATAACTCATACTTTCGTTCTTAAGAATGATTTCCAACATTTGTGTCATTTGAATTATATATTTAAATCGTTTGAAAGCAAAATGCAGAAAATGCAAAATTTTGCTGGTTTACACTTTTTTTTTTTTCAGTGAAAATTTTTATTGCATGAATTTATTTTTGGGTGAAAAATTTGTCGATTTTTAAAATTTTTTTTAGGGTTTTAAATAGAAAGAAAAGCCCCAAATTCTTTTCTCCTTTAAAGGGCAAATTTAAACCCCCTGTTTTTGAAACCCAAAGAAGAATTTTTAGATAATCTCCTGGATTATTTACCATCTGTAGGAGGGGGATTTAAGGATATAATAAACTAAAGAAAACGGAATGACACTTAAAAATGTGCATGAATTAGACCCCAGGGTCTATTCCAGGATATAGCCAATTTTGGCGATCTCTTGAATTCCTAAAACTACAGTAAAAAAAACAAGAATAAAGATCAACAAGGCAAAGGCAAAGTTCACAGGACGTTTGTTAAGATTGTTAACTTTGTTAAGATTTCGCAAAATATAATTGTTCCTGTCCAAGAGTCGGCATCATTTCTGTTGATGTCACTAAGTTCGGACACTCGGATAGATGTTCTTTATGAAAGGAAACAATCTGATATGCAGGGTTTCTATTGACGCACATTTCCTGCGTCCTTGACGCAAAAATAGTAACCTAGGACCCTCAATTACTCTAAGTCTGCGTCCACAGGGACGCAAATTAAATTTTCCTCCGTAAATGTCATTTGGAAATTCCTTCCGCTTTTTTAAAGGAAATGACGTAATTTGGTAGATGGGTTCTAATATTGAATACAGCAGAGTTATCTTTCTTTCAATTAATTACAGTTAAATACGAAATAAAACGGCGCACACTAGAATTTAGTCAACCTTAAAAAAGCGTCCCAGTCTATGCGTTGCTATGAAATAAATCGTATAACATGTCAGCTGCTCATCCAAAGAAATCACGTTACTAGTTTTAATGAAAAGTGGCTAAGTACTTACCCGTGGCTCGTCCAAAACAAGAAGACCACGGGTATGAAATGCAACCATTGCGTCTCAACCAAAAAATGTAATCCATTTGCCTCGGAAAATGGATGTTTGAACTTCCAGAATAGTACATTGGTCCGTCATCAAGGGTCTAAAGATCACTTGGACGTAGTTAAACAATTGATAAAATTAGTCGGACCAGATGTGAAAGATCTTGACTTTCTGCAAGTTGCAAAATTTCAGCCAAATGAAAGAAAGGAAAAAATAAAATGTAACAATACAGGGCTCATCCTGGGGGGAAATTTTAGGGAGAAGTGACTTCCTCGCAAAAATAGGGAGAAGGGAAACAACCCAATGTGTATGCATTAACATCCTTTAACTATAATATAAACACAATTAATCTATTTATCAGCTATTTATAAGCTTTCTCTAAATATTTATTTATATATTTTCATATAGATTTATTGATAATAATGTGTAAAAAAATATGATGAATAAATTAATTCTGGGACATAAGAGTTATCTTATGTCCCAGATTAATTTTATATTTTTACTTTCTTCACTTTTAATAGAAGATAAAGTTACATTGGATATTGATTAATAAGATCTGTTTATCCCAGCTGTTCTGATTACATAAATTTCTTTTATGATCTTGTAAGTTGTAATGTCACATTTATAGGCATATAATGATGCTTATAAAACAATTTTCAAACATCGAAGAATATGTAAAATATGTACTGCAAACATTTGTGCACATTATATTTGATCACTAAAATCATATAAATACATTCATTTCTTATTGAAAAATTTGACCGAGAAATGATAGAAAATAAATTTCTAATTACCTCCCTTTATTTTCATGAAATGTTAAACTCTTAATATCTTTATAAATAATGCTTTTTGAAATTTTCAATATTGATAAATCTTAAACTGAGCGTCATATTTATGACATTAAAACAAATATATATACATTGAAACAATAAGAACACTTCTTTCCTAACAAATTTTCATACATGTACACATGATATACGACCGATATGTAGCATGCTGATCATGATTCCTAGTTTTTTCTGGGATGTCGTGCCCACGTGCGTAAGCTGTGTCAAATTTGGCATTTCTACAAAGATAACAACATGTCAAACACTCACACTGTCTATAACATACCAATCGTAAGATTTTTGCGAATTGGCTGCGTAGGTGTATCAGAATCAGTAACTTTCTTTTACTGCTAGGTTTGGGCATTTCGGCCTGTAGCCATGACATGAGCGACATAACAATTTTTAATTGATGTTAACGGACTGAAATCATTCAAAACTATGATTAAGTTTTTTAATCCGGTCGCTGATCATTAATGAAATTGATTATATTTAATTGACTAACAGTTTTGTGATAACCGTGAAAAACCCATTGCACATCGCCTTTACTCAGGTTAAACACCGCGTGTATATCAATTAGGGAAGATTTGCACGTGTTTAGATGATCGGGAAAAAACAGTCTATAATTATCGCCAAATCCTGTATTAAACTGGCAAAACTGTCACACAATTATGTACCCGAAACGGGCCGATGCTCTCATTATTTACTGTTTAGAGTAGGCGGTCTATCGCTTTGCATACAGGTAGAAGGGTAGTATAAAGCGACGCTCTGATTGGTTTATGATAATTAGTAGGGATGGGTACCACCAATTTTTTTGTACCGCGGTATATCGCGGTATTTCACCTGTGTACCGCGGTATGTACCACGGTATTATGAAGACACTTTTTAATGTTTAACTTATGCAAACTAAGACCAACTGCCATAAGAATGTTTAAACATTTTGATAAAACACAATACATTTTAGAAAAACAGATTAATATCTTTATTTCTTTCAACTAACATCTGTCTACCTGACTGGAAAATAATAAATAAAAGAAAGAAGAAAATAACCTTATTGTCTTGATAATATTTAACAAAATGCCTCCAAATATCCGATTTCCCCTTTGGATTTTTGACCGTGGTGAATTCATCCATGACGGTATGAGCTGTTTACAAGTTGGGCTATGTCTAAATGCTTTACGTTTTGTTATTGTCGCCACTCATCAATACGTCAACATGTTTACTAGCCTTAGACTGAGCACTAACATGGGTGTCCCCTTTTAATGCATTTAAATGAAGAATGATATATAGAAATTATAAAAATGTCGGCGGATGAAATGTATTTACACTACATAATAAATATGAAAAGCAACCGGGAAACGATCCGACCTTTCCGCGACTAATTATTCGTTAGAGTATTATACTGTGCATTTACTGCTGCTCTAAAAATAGACTTGGAATTCCACTTTAATTTAGGTTGAAAGTTGAAACACAGATTACAGGGTAAATAACGTCCGAATCTTACAAAAATATTATGTAAAATTATATATATTAAAAAACCGGTATTCCTAGGGGTCGTACCGGTACGTACCGCGTCTGAACGAAACCGCGGTATACCGGTAATACCGCACATCCCTAATAATTAGCAGTCGTCATATGGGCAGATACAATCTCTGCTCTTTACATCGCCAAGTAATTACTCTTTGGGAATTAAGATTTTATTGGCGATGTTGACTTCTCTTTGATCAATTGGGAGAGCGGAATGGAAATATACACAGCGAAGTTTTCGCCTGAATCGCCCTTCCGGATGAGCCCTGATATCTGGCTTAAAAGTTGTGAAATCTGTATGGGAAGATACACAAAAAGTGTCTGGTTGATGGTCAATGACCAGAATTGTATTTGTGGAAATGGTTAGGGTAACAAACAGTGGATGAATATCCTCAAATGTTAATGGCAATGAATCAGAAGTTAAAAAAGGTAACAATTTAGATAAAAACTAAATGATGAGATTACTTGTTAATTTATGGAAATTATTTATTTCCCTTTTTGAATCTCCATAAAATAAGAATTGGAACCAGGGTGGATCCCTTGAGTGCCATGGTATTATATTTTCATAAATTTATAACATTGAAAGTCGTTTACATTAATTGACATATATAAATATAATAAATTGTTGCATCTTTACTTAAAAGTATGTATCAATCAAAGATTAAGTCAATAATCCTAGACAATAAGATTTAAAGACATTTTCTACAGTTTTATGAAAAAATAATCCTTTTATAGAATTTTCTAAATTTTTTGTATGATGAGTAAAATTTAATGACGAATGTAAAAATAAAAAGAAAAATATATGTTGACGTGTTGGATTTCTTGTAAAATGACAGTTTCCATGGTAACCGTATATCTAAAAACTGTCAAAATAGCCTAACTGTGTTATAACGAATAGAAAATGTATAAGATAGCTTAAAACACACAACGGGCATTGTTTTATGCAAAGATAACCTTATCTAATGATTCTGTATGAAACAAATGATAATCTGAACATATTTCTTCAAAAAATGAGTTTTCCATGTTCCTTAACCGAACAAAAAATGAGAAAAATGAACATGAATTCTAAGAATAATTAGAGATATTGAAAAAAGTGTTTCATAGAATTTTCTAATTTTTTTGTATATTGTGTAAAATTTAATGACAAATTCAAAAAGAAAAAGAAAAATATATGTTGGCGTGTTGTATTTTTTGAAAAATGGCAGTTTCCATGGTAACCGTATATCTCAAAATTGTCAAAATATCCAAACTGTATTATAATAATGTATAAAATAGCTTATTACACTCACAATAAACATAATTTTATACAAAGCTTGCTTTTCTTAGGGTTCTGTATAAAAACAAACGATAATTTGGACATATTTCTTTAAAAAATGAGTTTTCATGCTTTTTAACTAAACAAAAAATGAGAAAAATAAACATGAAAATTTTCTGTAAAAAATTAAAGCTATAAGAAATTTCTTTTATAGAATTTTCTACATTATTGATATATCAAGTAACATTTGATGGTGGATTCAAAAATAGAAATAAAATATATATGTTGAAGTGTTAGTTTTTTATAAACGGGCAGGTTCCATGGTTACCGCATATGCCAACTGTCAAAATTACCACGCTTTCTTAAGAAATATCAGTGTTATACTAAATGTATTGTCAAATATAAAACATGTTGTAATACGAATTTCTTTTTCTTTTGATGTTATATTAAGTAAATGATACTGAATACTTTTTTTTAAAACATATCTAGGGCCATATTATTTTTTCACTCGACTAACATACCCGAACAGTAAGCAAGTATTCAGAAATTTACAAAGAAAATAATGAAATTCTGAACATTTCTTGGATATTAATTTTGTTTTTTTTATTCAACACTTTTAAAATATATCATTTCAGTTGTCTGCCAGTAATCAAGTCGCGACGCACTTTTGTCACTGGTGGGGTAACGCGCGCAGAATTATCATCAATGCTGTCGTACTAATGCTTGGAGGAATACTTTATGTGATGTTGTCTAAACGACATTCTTATTCTTTTGAACCAATCTCCTTTTGAACATTTATAAATATCTATTCTGTATTATTTACTCATTATTTGCTTATAGCCGAAATTTAAACACTTATCCGAATACTATTCAACTTTACCTTCATTTGAAGAGTAATTAATCCGTGATTATCTTTCTTGGATGCGAATAACGATGCGCACAGAAAACTACCGAAAACGTCTTTAATTCAGTCTGCCATGTTTACAGGTGGTACTACTTATGCAGAGTTTTCATTATTAACAGATTGGTGATGCATATCATCAGATGAAATGCTGTTAAAATTGGTTATATTTTCAGTCTGTAGATTAAAATATCCCCATTGACCCTTGGCCACCTCAGATAAAAAACAAAACTCTGCTTAAACAGGGCTCCAGATAATTTTTTAGGGCAATGAGTATTTACTCATTGATTTTTTTGTGAATGAGTAAAACTTGAAATCTGAAATTTAGCAGGAGTATTTTTACTCCTTAAAATGTATGTAAAAGAATAAAACATTTATTATGCTTCCATGTTTATTGCATTATTATACTTGCAATACAAGATATGTCAAAGTCATTTCTTTTGCTTTTTGGACTCCCTTGGTTTATAATCTTGCATTTCCAAACGGCATACGTTTTATTTGAACCTGAGGCATGTTTCTGTTGCTCATACAAGGCAGTGCTGATTATTTCATTAATTATAACCTTCACAATTACTTTTGGGTCGATTAGTTTTGGCTGAAAATACGAGTCAATCATTTTAACTTTTGACAGCGACATTGTACCGGATGTTTATGAAATTGCATTAATTCCACCACCTTACTATACATACGATAACAACCGATGATAGGCGGAACTACAGGAAGTTACCGTTAGACACTGCAAAGTATTCATACGAAGTTAATTCCACCACCATACTATACATACGATAACAACCGATGATGGTCGGAACTACAGGAAGTTACCTGTGACGCTGATGATAATCACCGAGTTTACTTTCGGTTACCTTTACGCGAAAGAAATGTTGCTCAATGCGTAACCTGAATTTTGTGTGCGTTTTCATACGCTTAAATTTTGTTTTGAATGCGTAACATGTAATTTCCATGCGTAATTTACGCGTATACGCATCTTATCTGGAGCCCTGGCTTAAACAATTCAGTGCATGTTGAGATTACCAAGATATCGGCAGCAATGCAGTACCAGCAGGGAGTACTAAATGTCAAATCTTTACATTAGATTCTACTTGAAATAGTGTATATCATTGTCTAAGAAAGCATGTCCTGTTATCTCGCTACCAATTTTTAAATTTATAAGCTAGGCTATACCCCAAAAGTTTTATTACTCAGTAATTGAGCGTCAAATTATTTATGTGTTTTCTTGTAAGTTGAGATTCCATGTTTCATGTCATTTAATTATTTTGAGTATAAATAAAGTTCTGTCAATTTGTTGTATTGTAATTTTTCAGAGGTGGAAGTGGAATACAATTATGAGGCTGAACAGTCCGATGAGCTGTCAATAAAAGTTGGGGACATTATCAAGAATGTTACCATATCGGAGGGAGGCTGGTGGGAGGGAGAGCTTAATGGCAAGAAAGGAATGTTTCCTGACAATTTTGTCAAGGTAAAAAAAACAACACATACTTAAGTATTATATAAATTTGTAATTCTTTAAGTACCTTTAAATCTGTATGTTAGCAATAAATGTCAGAAAGATATATTTGAGAATCTTGTGCTTTGTATGTTTTGATATATATTGAATTATTTATATTTTATCAGCAATTTTTTTTTGGAATTGTCAGGTTATTAAAGATAAAGATGCAAAGAAGGATGAAGGAAAGAAAAAAGATGTGCAAGCATCAAAGAGACAGTCAGTGAAAGACCTGGCTAACAAGCTTAAAGGCCAGGTACATGAAGGTGCTCCACCTATGATGAGGAGAAAAGGTAATAATGGTATTTGTTGCTACAGTCGAAACTGTCATATGTGACTTTCCAAGGGATCTTCAGAAAAAGGTCACATATGACAGGGAGTCTCTAAATACAGTCTCAAAGAAAATTAAATTTAAATACTATCTATCTGTCTATATACCATTGTGACTTTACATACATTACTGTGTGAAGGAATAATATCTAACCAATTGCAAATAAACATAGGTATATGTAAACAAAATAAGAATCCATGTGAAACAAATATATTAGCATGTATATCATATACAATTTAATTTTATTTTTTTGTATTAAGATTTAAATTGAATCTTTATGGTATAAAATAAACTGGAATTTGATGCATTCAAATCATTGAAATAAATATCATACTTGTAAAAGTTAAACATATCCATATCCAAAGCTTTTTCTGGTTTGGTATCAATATTTTTTCCGTATTAATTATGCAGCCATCGAAAATTGAATTAAAAAAATGCTGCATAAAAAAAATCTTCCGTTCGCACTCTATAATTTAAAAAAAAATCTGACACAAGTCTTAATCCAGTTTACTCAGGTCATTATGTACATTACACACATCGATTGCATCATGCTTACCATATTTGGCAGTAGGGAACAGACGCTATGTCACTCGATACCTGTATACATGTTAACTGTGTAATTGAGGGTCGCTTGTCACATATGACAGGGAGTCATTTAATTCAGACCATTAATATAGGAAAATACGTTTGGAGTACTGAAACAATGTTGGATAAGACAGGGAGTTATTGAAATCAGGGGGTCGCTAAGGCAGTCTCGACTGTATTTCATTGGATAAATTCTATTTCCTTCCTAAGCTCTAAAGGTCATTGATTCAACCAATGTGCTTGTCCCAATAACTGCAATTATGAATAAAGTGGTAAATAAGGTTGCCCTCAAAGTACTAAGAAGTATCGCTATTAGCTTGGGCAGAATTGATGTGACTTGAGAGATCCATTAAATATACTTGCAATTATGATCTATAAAATAGTTAGGGAAAAATATCTCACCATACAAAAACTGCTTGTTGTTTGATGTCAATATTCTTGTTGCACAATATTCACCACTTTGTCAAGCCTTGTGTGTTAATTTTGTCTGTATAATTGAATGTTGTTAATGCTGACAAAGCTAAAAAATAGATCAGTTGCATGAACATGAATAAAGGACATGCCAAAATATATATGGTAACATAGGAATGAATTATTTAGGCAACATTAGGACCATTTTAAAAGGTAAGCTCAGCAAAAACTTATTTAGGCAACATGAGCCTGAGGACTAGTTTAAAATTTTACTTAAGCAACATGAGAACCACTTGACATGCATCATAGCACTGTCTGTGAACTTAGCAGACAAAATGAGAATGTCCACAGAATAATGCAGAGGAACATGATTTTTTAAAAACAAATAAATTTTTGGTTTTAACATACTGTATGGTTTGTTTATGTTTTAGCAGAACCTCCAGCGAAGAAAAAGAAAGCAAAAGTAGTCTATTCTTATGAGCCTGAAAATGATGATGAACTTAAACTAGAAGTTGGAGATGTTTTAGATGTTATTAAACAGGTAAAATTGTTAAACAGGATCTCATTGATAAATTGATTATTACCTTTGAGACAGTTGGAAATTTTTCCTTGAAAACTAAATTTTAACATGGTTCAAACAGACTTTGAAAACTTCATAAATTTGATGCAACTTTTTTATAATTCCTTGAATTTGAAACAGACGAAAGGTTCTTGAGAACTCTTTGAATTTGAAAAAGATTGTTGAAAAAGTCGGAAAATTTGAAGTGTAAATTGATATTAAAAATCTGCCATTAAAATTAAACAAAAGGCTTTTGTGATAACTTGGGTAGATAATAAAGGAAGCCAACAGGTAATTATTATGGGAGAATAAGTTTAACCCATACTTTTGCAGTAAATGTTATAGTGTTCAGTTCAAGATTGATTTCTAAAATTTTGAGTAGAACATACAAATATATGTTTTCATGTAAGTGACTAAATATAAGATTCTTCAAACCCTGGTTAGACATGATGTCAAGCAAACAAAATGCTTATGCAGGACACATAACAAACTACTGACATTGATAAAATATACACATACGTGAAAAGCAAAACACAAAATTGAAATTGGGTTGCTAAACAAAGACAGTCAAAGATTTCAATAAACGTATTTCAAAAAGTTCTTCTATAAGTGCAGTTAAGTGTCAGCTTATCATGCTTCTATAACCCTGTAACCCACCCACTGTTAGTGTTAATACTTATAATATTAATAGTAAGGATACCATGGCTTTTAACAGTTATGTCAAAAAAAATAACAGAATCCCTAAAGAAAGACTGATGGCAGAAAGTTTGTGGGCATGTAGGCTTATAACAACTTATCAGTCATACAAGTCTTCAGAATACACTGATAATAGCAATTCAAGCCAGGTGTGAGTTCCTGTGTGGTGAATGAAATTATCATACTTGTTTTGGGTTTTGCAAGCTATTTTAAACAAATTATACATCAATTGATGTTTAATTGGAACATGTGTCATTTAATTGCATTCACCTGTTGCAAAATTGTTTCCTTATGTATACAGGATATAATGTGCCTCTGAAAAGTGTATTTAATGTTAATAATGACTTGACTTATATAGGAAAGTCCTTGAAATCAGTAGCCAAAAGGTTATGTTAATAGGCTTTAGTTCATTCTTTTTAATAAAATCCAACATTCTTTAAAAAAATTATCACTCTTCCCTACTTCAGCAGTAAAAAGATCCCCCGCCCCCCCATCAATTTTATCAGCAATTGAAATCTTGACTAAATTTGACATTTTATTTCCTGCTAAATAAACTGGTGAAACATAGTGAACATTGACAAGTAAAGTAGTTAAATTAATCTGAAAATCTCATTTTTGACTTTACCCAGATGCTTTACCAATATAACTGTTAACATAGACAGCTTTAATGTTCTTGGAAAACAAAATATGAAGTTACGGGTATTACCTATTGACTGTTCAATTAATGCAGGGTTTTACATCTCTTTTGAAATTTTCGGGGTCCAGTGGATGCGCAGCCTAGAAAAGTAGGGGTCCAGGCCTAAATTTTAGGGGTCCAAAATTATATTCACTAAAAAGACTATGAAGACCACTCAATTTTGCTTAAAATCATTATTTACCCTGTAAGAAATATGCATGTATGTATATTGTACTGTTTTCATAAGAAGTATATGATTTCAATATCTGTTATCACTAGGGTTTTTTTTATAGCCCCTTAACAAAAATATCATGTGCTACTTCCAAGGCTTAGTCTTTGAGTGGCTGGAATTTCAAGTTTTAGTAGCATATATTGTTATTGATAAGGTGATTACACCAACAGACTGAAAATTGTACTGATTTATTTGTAAATATTTTAGCTCACAATAGATGTCTTTACAGACCAGTCAGCTAAAGATGTTGTATTTTTAAAAAATATCATATAATCAGTTCAATAAAAACAAACGCTTTTCTTAAGCTTTCGACGTTTAGTCTTCTTCAGAAAAAATTGACGTTTATAAAATAACAAATGACAAATGATGCAACGTCCGTTTAACTATACGCTAAACAGAACGTGACGTTAACGCGGGAATAAAAACTTTGTCCAATAAATACAGAATCTTTCATGAATATAAATACAGCAATATACAATGAATTACACATATAATATGGATCTGCACATGTGATACAAAAATTCTCATAATTAATAATAATAAATTTTTTTTTTTTTTTTTTTTTTTTTTTTTTTAAATATCATATAACACAAGGCTGACGAAACCGCGTTTGCACCTCCTCATAAGTTTAGTTCGCCGAAACCATTATATTTATAACACCACCGATAATTACATACCCAGTGACTTAATTTCTATAACACTATAAAAATAAGTTTGCAAAAAACACTGCCTTTTTTATTATCGCCTGTTCCTGTGCCGAACCGGTAGATTGACATTGGATACGCTAACCAATAGTTATTGCCTGTAATAAATAGTCCTTCTAAATATAGCCACAGAAAAACCAAAAACAGCTACCTAAAATAGATTTTACGGTAAACGTCATCAGTTACTGTAGCTTGCACTGTAAATGTCATCAGTTTCTGCGACGGGCACTTGCCAATAGCATGCGCAGTAGATTTCAGTTATGTTAACTTCCAAAATAAACAAATGCAAGCATTTTCTGCTCTCTGTATTAGATTTTAACTGGAATTTTGTGAGCTTCAAGAAGGAAGAGATAAAATCATGTCTGGTCAGAAACAATAATATCTATTGTTTTTGTGCGTACACTTGGACGCAAGTGGATAACTTATATGCGTACATGTCAAAATTTATGCATATAGGGACGCAGATTCTGCGTCCCGTAAAACCCTGATTAATGTATTTGAAATTGAAATTTAGAATAAAATCTATTATGTCCCCAAATTAGGATATATATATAGAGTATAGAATATAGAATTTACATAGAGTTTGTTATTTCTTTAACATTATAATTTTATCTATCTATATATATATATATATATATATATATATATATATATATATATATATATATATATATATATGTAATAATTAAAAGACTGATGAAGTGAGAATAAGCACGAGAAAGATTCAAATAAGTGTGCTTGCTTTTTTTTCACAGGTTTCTTACCTAATAACAAAATAATTACCAGGCAAGTTTTATAGAACAGTTGTCAAAGCAAATGTGTGATAAGTTATTATGAACTTTTATTTTTGAAATACATGCAAGTAATTGGTGCTTGGTTACAACCAGTTTGCACCATGCTTTTGACTTGTAGAGAATGTTTTGATGATATATACTTTTACCTACATATTTTATGTTGCCAGGAGGAGGAAGGCTGGTGGGAAGGAATATTGAATGGTAAACAGGGTATGTTTCCATCCAACTTTGTTGAAATTGTAGATGAAGCTGGAGAATCACCATCTCCTGAAAATGCAGACAAATTTGGTGAGTGCTGAAATGTTGATATTTGTATTTGTCATATATAAGATTAAAATTACAAATAAGGTTAACATGTCAAATTGGATTATCCATCTATTCCGATTCAGGCCAAGTAGGAAGTAACAAAACTCCTAAAACATGGCAGTTATAAATTTACTGTTGCTATCTGTGTAAGAGTATATAGAAAAGTTAGTTGTTGAATAGTTTCGCTAATACAAGACTAAAATACAATGACAGACTGGCACTAAACTAATTAATGAGCAATCCAATTTCAACACATATAAAGTTGATTTTACCATCAAAATATATATGGCTCTTGTATACATTTCTAGTAGTTGATCTGTATACATGATTGATAGATTTACTAATAAGTTCTGTGGTTTCCTCTATTGCAATTGATAGAGACCTTAACTCAAGTTCTGTATAAGTCTATAATTTCAGTTATTATTCGTTTATCCTCTATCAATTTGGCTTATTATTAATTAATGCCATCTATCTTTTATGCTTTGCTTAGGTATGTTTTCATTGCCACCAATAATTATTCTTTCATTCTAATTTTATCTCAAGTCTTCAAATTTCTGTTCACTTTGTGCATCCTTTTCACAATGTCATTTTTATACAGGAAACAAAAAATGTATTAGGTATCATCCCACAGACATTTCTTGGTACCAAATAACAAATAGTTTGGATGATAATGTAGTAATTATTTAGGCATGGCCTTAATTAGTTGTTATTGAAGTGGTTCCAGAAACACAATATTGATCAAATACCTTAGAGACCTACTGTAGAAACATACTGTCTGCAGGAGTGGCATTTAAACATGTAATTCTATCTACATGAACATGTCTCTGTAATTAAAGCTATTGCTTCAAAGTTAGAGCAAAATTTAAGGGTTATCATTAAAAGTTTTCAAAGATGGTTTGTTTCAAATTTGAGTCTGTCATTTCTGGTTTTGTTGCATTGTCAAGTAAGAGAGTTTTCTAAGTTTTGAGGTGGCCAAAAGTGCATTTTAGACAGTTATTTTGGCCTACAGTGGCCTCTGAATGACAAACCTGAGAATTTTATATTATAAAAGATAATTTGAGCCGCGTCACGACAAAACCATGCTGTTCGCTATCAGTTTCTCAACTTGTTATAGGGTTTGTAAGCGAACAGCATGGATCCTGATCAGAATGCGCAGGCTGGTCTGGATCCATGCTGGTCGCAAACCCATTATGTTGGTTTTGTCGTGACGTGGCTCATTTAATGTTTTCAAAGACATTGATTATATCTGAAAAAGAGAAAATCAAATGAAAGAAAAGTGGCTGAATGTTTAGTACTGTTCATCTTAAAAATAATTTGTCTTTTACTTTCTTGTCCTGGAAAACCAGAAAAAGGCTTTTATGTGAAAAAAGATTATTTAAATTTTAATTCAGCTACAGAAAGCCTAGGGAAGGTTGCTTTTCACTTGGAAGATGGCCTCTCATTTAATGCCTGATAAAGTTAGTAATAAAAATCTTTTGAGAGAAATTTTGGTAAAACATGCCTTTTATCTTTATTTTTTACATAAAGTTCAAGTGAAAATGATGTTAGTATGTTTTTCTTCAGCAAATACTGAGTAACATGTGATCAAGCTTGATTTTTTTTAATTGGAAATACATAACTAAATTTATGGAAAAATTGAACTTTTGTTACAGAAAATACTGAGGAGCATGTGATCAAAGGGAAAAAAATACAGGGTGTTGGTCTAGGAAATATATTTGGGGATGGTCCTATCAAGTTGAGAAGTACAGCAGGCAAGAAACCTGGTGATAAACCTCTAGAGCCACCAAAGGTAAAAAAAAATGATAAAAATAATTATCAGTATTTTTTTTGTTTATTATACTGTTTTATGAAAGCACACCTGAACAATCAATATGACTTTGTTGTTTAGCTGTACTGTTTATGAATAAGGACACTTAAGATATAAAAAAAGTATTGAAAAGCAACCTATTTAAATTGATAATGAAAAACAACAAACGGTGTACAGAGGTTGAAATTAGCGTGTTAGCGTAAAACTAGTGGACTTTCCTTCAGGCTTCTGAAATTATAATTTACAGCGAAAAATTGTTTAATGTTACCGATACTAGTCTGGCTTGCTTGTAAAATTTAGTCCTTAGTTGTAAGACTGCTTGTAGGTTAGTTTATACATATTTATCTTTTCTTGTTTGTAAAGTTGTCTCATGAAAATAATTCAAGTCATGATTGAGACAGCTTCCTTAACTCACCAGTACTGGTGTTATATGTTGAATCGTAGTTGTGACACAGTAATGGTTGTTTAAATCTAAGAATCAATAAGTGAAATATTGTAATGAGCTGTAAGAAATATATCTTATTTATAAAGTGTAAATAGTATTTCACTCCACTTGAGGGTACAAGTAAAATCTAACTACATATTCTTCAGGCTGCAATAGAAAGTTTTTGTTGATTATCAATATGAAAATTTTTGTCAGTTTGGGTGACGAATTAATTTTTAGAAAAGACAACTCTCAATGTTCATCATGTTAGTTCATGCCAATTTAAGTTCAACAGAACTTGTTTGATAGAAGAAAAAACTATGAATTTTAGATTGTAATGTTTTTAATTTATCTGTTACATTGAAAAAAATCCTTGTAATGACAGGTGTCTATCACTTGTGTGTGCACTGTACATTAGAAGACATAAAAGTCTAGTTTTATCGATACTTGGCAAGCTAGTGTATGTCTATGTTAAACAGATGTTAGATTATTGGCTGTATCTAAATTGACATGAAAACACACAATGTTCTTTAAAGTAAGCTGACTGTGTTGTTAAATTTATCTAAAATTGGAGTTAAATGGTTATAAGAATTAAATATTTCTTGTTTAAAACACAAATTTTATCATCAAGGAAAATTTATTTTATTGATTGTTATGAGATTTGACTGCATGCTGTTCACACAGATAAGTAAATTCAACACATTTAATGTAAATACAGAAGTTACATAACATTTTTTGTCAGTCTTACAAAAAGAATCATTTACACAGTGAAATAAGTGTATTTGCTTTACAGGCAGTAGAAAATGACTCTGTGTATCAATTAGGAGGTAAATACTGCATTTCTTTCTAGTCTATCTCCTGTTTCAGCGGATTTCAGTCTAATATAGTAGATGGTAAAGCATTCTTATGAAAACACTTTTCAAGGGAGACAAACAGGAAGTGTGCTGTTTGTCCATCTGTCAGTGCATGTGTTGACCTGTCTTTGTTGATTTTTAGGGTTATCTTTAATAGTCATTTTGATAGGTGTCACCTAAATGATCAAGTTCCACATTTCACTGTGCTTAATAACAAAACATTTGTGCTTTGGTTCGATTCTAATTTGGTATAATGGCACATACAAGGGTATAAGCTTTGTTGAGAAGTTCAGGTTAAAGGGTAATGAAGGTGTTAAACTAATGAAAAAAATGTGATGTATGTTTTTATAACCAAATCTTGTACAATTTCAAATACTACAAACAAAAACAAATAATCTGAAGTTAGTTCTTGACTTGTAAAAACACAGGGCCAATCTACAACCAGGTATAAAGACATTTTAATGATTTCCTAGCTCAAAAACATAAGCATTCTGCATGGGATTTCTCCTATATTGTATAATTATGTATGTCTGTTAATCTTTTTGTTTGTTTTCTCATGGAAAATATGTGTAACAAGGCATTCTTCTATGAAATTTAATACGAGTATGATATAAAGCATTTTTTCTGTGCTGTTTTCAAATGCTGTTTTCAGGAAAAACTATATTTTACATATGTATACATGAAAGAAATTTTATTCATCTATTTGCAATTTGTATAACCTCAGGTCTACAGTAACAAATTCATTGAAATCTTGATGTTTTTGCATATTGATATACTAGTCTTGTGGATTTTCTTATTTTTGAAGTCAAATTATAAAAAGAAAAAGTAAGCTTGCTCCTTTGAATTTTTATAAAGAAACAAAAAAGTTGTTTTTTCCTCATACATATATGATACTGTATTCTTTGATATATTTATAATGTGTGATCATATGTATTCTTTTGATATATTTTTATCAAAATTATGTTATACCTTTTGCCTTCAATTATTTTTATTTATCACACTGAATAATGTACTTTATTTGCATATAAAGATAATGAGCAATAACTTATTCTTTTAATTTCTTAATTATATATGACAATGACATGGTTGTGTTCTTGTTTAATTTTATTAATGCATTTATCATTAAAGATCCTGTATGTTTTGTGATTGATATTGTTACTGTGTGTATACCACACTTGCAAAAAATTATATATGTATTTAATTATGCAAATAGAACAATTTTCAAACATCAAAGAATATGTAAAATGTGTACTGCAAATATTTGTTCACATTAGATTTAATCAATAAATTATATGCATTCATTTCTTATTGAGAAATTTGACTTTGAATTTATAGAAAATAAATTTCTAATTACCTACCTTTATTTACATGCAATTTTAAATTCGGTAATATCTTTATAAATAATGCGATGGGAACTTACAATATTGACAATCTTAATTTGAGAATCATATTTATGAAATAAAACCATGAAAAAAATGTGTTACAGGATCTTTAAAGTTTTAAAATTAAAAAAGAAAAAAAAGAAACAACAACAAACTATAGTCAGTCTGGTGTAAGAATTTAATGATCTAATTTGTTTTATAGCCCAGTTGTGTTTTTAAACTTTGAAAATGTTCTTTGTAAAATAAGATAAATTTTAAATTTCTAATTACAATTACATGTGCAAGTTTTTGTAAAAGGTGCTTATCCATGTTGATTGTGGCTGTAAATGTATGTTTTTGTTATGACAAAAAATTTAAATTGAAATTAGTTTGTTAGGGTTATTTGGTTATTTTTATTTTGCCTCTTTCTTCCAGGCAGAAAAACGAGAAGACCCAGTGCAAAGACGACTCAAAGGTAGGCTTTAAAAGTACAAATGATCTGTATTTAATTTTGTGCTTACCATTCCCCACACTATTTATATACCCTAGTGCACTATTAACCTGTGTATATTTATGTTTAGAACATTTTAAGGTATTTACAATATGTTTTTTTTGCACTTGAGATCACAAAATTGATTGCTTCATTAGATATTAAGTTTTAGATAAAAGTTATGAAGGGAAAAAAGTTTCAGTGGTCTGATTCAAAGAAATCATATATTGCCATGGCACTTGTATTACTTGTTGATCAGCTTTTCTATACTGCATTATATAAATGGCATTTGCATTTTTACATTGTTTTTGAATGGACTATTGAATTAATTGTCAAGATAATTTCTTTGGAAAATATACTAACCTTCATGAAAAACAGGCAGTCCAGTAAGCCAAACAATGTACAGATTTTCATGCTTAGTATAACTTAGTATTTCTGTTTTTGCATGTCCTACTAACACTTCAGGTTTCAGAGATGTAACAGAAGAAATTAATTCTGAGGAGTCCAAAAAATCACAGTCATCATTGCATGTAGCCAAGAAAGATCTGAGCCTGGTTGAGAAACATCGAAGGCTTTTTAAAAACATTGACTGTTTAGATAATGATATTGAATACTTTGAAAATGAAGATTTATATGTCTTAGATATGTCTGATAAGAGTTCTGATAATTATAAAGCTTCTATTGAAGAAGACCTATATGAGTTTGAAAATGTTGATGTTAATCCTGATAATAATTTAGGTTGTGATAGGCATGAGCACATTGAGATAAAGCTTGCCTACCCAGAAGAGGATTCAGATGTATCTGATGACGGAAGTAAGGATATTGATTTTAATAATAACAGAGATGCAGGAGTTCAAGACTGGTCAAATTATCACTCCAGGAATTTTTCAGAGAAAAGAGAAAGAGTTGGTATGGGAGGAAATTGCTCAGGTGATTATAATGAATCTCTCAAGTCAATATTAGATGACCTTGACAACTGCCTTGATGAAAGTGATAAAAACGAGGATGATATTTTGACTGAAGTCCAAGTAGATAAAGAACAAGATGAAGATATACATGACAAAAGTATACTCTCAGCGTTAATACATGATGACGTTGAACCTCCAGAGCTGGAAATAAAGGCTTCAAAACCTAGACAGTATAATGAAAAGTTACAGACTTTGAATTGTTGGAAGCACACTGAACTAACACCACCTGAAAGGGTAAGTTTTTGTAGAGCTGTAGACAGTGTTCTTGTCACAAAGAAGAGACTAATAGATTCTTCAGAGAAGTTACCTCACCAAACACCTCTCCATTTTTATCGTTTTAAGGAGTATGGTGACATGGAAAAAGCTGCCAGAGCCTTAAATTATGCAGCAGGAGATCTTGGAGCATCAGATTTTATGAAATTCAGTGTAGTTACAGATGATAATGGTTCTACTTCTGTGGTTGCTAAACCATTTCAAGTGCCTAAACATACTGTTCCAAATATCCAACATACACCTACTCCAGATATCCCACATACACCAACTCCAGATATTCCACATACACATACAGTTCAGGATGTAAAAGCAACTCATTCTAAATCTCCAAAGACATACTTTGCTTCTTTGAACAGATCTGGTCATCTCTCTCCATTCATTAAATCCATCGCAGAAAAGTATGAATTGTTTCAGTCAGGGAAACCTCACTTTAAGAAAATAGAAGTTGAAGACTTTCAGAAAGAAGATCTTGAAGAGTCCTACACCATGAGTTTGTTGAGCCATCAGCCAGATATCAGTTTAGATGATGTACGTTTTACTGAGGGTAAAGATTTGTTAAATGATAGTAATGATCTGACAGATCCTTTGGTGAATCAGATGGTGAATAATTATGTTTATGATGTCATAGCTGGTGGACATGCTGCTCTGGGATTAAACGGATCAAAGTTTGACGAAGCAGGCGTAGTAACAGATCTGAATGGTAATCTCAAGACTGACGATGATATCTCTATGGCAGTATGTGTCGATGAAAATTCAGTGAGAATAGTGAATTCAAAAGAGGATCTTGATGATAACTCAATGCAGATTTTAGAGTCAAGTACACTTCTTTGTATGACAGAAGGTGAGGATTTTTGCAATGTTGAAAAGAATAAAGATCAAGGCATCCAGTGGCACAGCAAATTACGCAAAGAGTATAATTACAAAGACATTCAAGACAAGTACCAAAAAGAAAATAGATTACATATTGACAAATCATTTTCGTCATTTCAGGCAGATAAGCAATTTTTTAGGAGGAGGAATGCTCTTAAAACACCCCCAAAACCTTACCAGAAGTTTAGAAGTCATGGCTCTTTATCTAGGAAGGAACCAGAAAGTGATTTTGCAAGACATTCATCTAGCTATTGCAGAATACCATTTAGCTCTAACATGCAAACATTTTGGTTTTGTAAAGATTTTGAAGAATCTCCAAAGTCTGAAAATGTTTGCTTGACAAAAGTAAGATCCCCAAAGAGAACATGCAGTGAAATTTCAGAGTCTGTACCATCCCTGCTAGATATTGCAGAAAAAAACTGCCTGGAAGAGTTCAAAGGAAAAATTGAGGCTTTTAAAGCAGAGTTCCCACATTTATCAACTTGTCCACTGTCTCTTGATAATAAGTCTCCTGCTAAAAAACGAAGAAAGAGAACAACAGAGCAAGCAATAGCAGACTACCTTTACAGACATCCTGATTCAAATCTGAACTCCAACTGGAATGCATTGGTACAGTTACCATATATTGAAGACAACAGTAACAGTGTAGAAACTTTCTTTAAAAGTAATTTAGATGATGCTCTAGATGATAAAAGCTCTTGTAAAAATGTAGGTACCACTGACATTGTTGCCTCCCCAGGAAATTTGGACCTGCAACATCACAAAGATCAGAAGTCAGGTAGTGAAAGAGAAGGGAGTTGTAAAAAGTATGATTTACTAATCAGACAGCCAGTTAGCACTTCAAATTTAGATAGTAAACCATCACAGAATGGCACTTATTGTTTTAAAGACAAACTGTATTCATTTAATAATTCATTGAATAATATTGTAAATAACAAGAAAAACAGCTACTGTCCTCAGTCAACCACCAGTTTTACAAAAGAAAGTCCTGTAAAGTTGGTGCGATTTCAGAAAATGGATGAAGAATTTATTCCTGACTACTTAAGATTGACTAATAGGTCAAAACCGACAAAATGCCAAACAAAAAATGCAACAAAACAGGCTAGAAAAAGACTGGATATGTTAGATTTCTTTGATCAGTACACAAAGAACACACTACAGCAACCATGTCAAAATAAAAGTGAAGTTAAATGTATGCAAGATGATGATGAGACAGTAAAAGTGAGTCGAAATTGTCTTATATTGGCTAGTCTTGGGTTCAAAGATTTTGAAGTTAGAAATGCTGTAGACACGCACATGAAAACAACAGATGATGCAGTGAATGGAGAAGCTGATGTCTCTGATATGTTAGAGTCTAGAAACAAAATGTATTCTGCAATGTCAAAAGCAGTGGAGTCCTGTTCAGAACAAATGGAGAAGGAGAAAGTAACACAGTTTGACAGTATGAATAGAATAGAAAGTAGAATAGGGACAGACCAGGATTTTAGTAGAAATGAGGAGGGCTGTGATGTTACACCTGATGTAGATGCTTTAATGAATGATTTAAAAGATTTGGACCTATCTGACACCCCACAGTATGTACACAATGAGACAGAGGATACCGAAATGCATGCATTCCTTAAAGAAGCTCTTGGATCTCTTGATGATTTAATGACTGCAAGTTTCACTTCAACAGGATCAGTTACTGCTGCGGACAATAAACACTTGCAGGATGCCAGTATCCAAGTCAATGATGGATTCAACAATACAGTTGAGATTCAGAATGATTCTGTGTTAAATGTTGTTGGTAAAAGATGTTTTCTTCATGAGTCTGAAGATGTGTTCTGTGAAAATATACAAGGTGATGATGAGGGTGATGACGAATGTGTGGAAATCTTTAATGACCCAGTACTCACAATTGTTGGCAAGAAATGTGTAATTCATAAGGCTGATTACTTCTTAGATAATTCAGCAGGATTTCCAGATGGACCAAGTCCACCAAAACTCTATAAGAGAGAAAAGAAGATTGGAAATAGATTTGATAATGATGGATTGAAAGGATGTGGAGACAGATTGGTGGATATTGAGGAAAATGTTACAGAAGAAAGCTTTGACAGGTCTCTTATTCACAAGGCTACTCAGTCAAGTCCTCAAGAGAAAAATATCTCAACCCAGACAATAGAATGCTCAATACTTGACACAAGTGTGGAAACAGCTACACAGACTGAGATGGGAGACACATTTCCTGAACAAAATGTATCAGATGATGACTCTAGTTGTTCCATCAAAGATAATACTTCAGTAGATTATGATGAAGCATATGATGTGGATGGGAACAAGATTGATGATTGCAAGGCTGCTGTAGTAGTAGATTCCTACTATGTCTATGAAAGGCAGCCATCCTACTTTTGTGCAAGTTCCTCAGTTGCATATTACCATACTGTAGGAGAGTTGAAGAATGACTACAGTGATGAAGAGGAGGAAACCCAAATATACAAAGATATTCCATTGTTCAAGATAAGTCCTATTGCAGATATTGAAAATAAAACTATGTCTAAACAAGATGTTTGTAGTACTGACCTTTCTTTTGAGTCTCCAGATGTCAATTTTGATTTTGAAGTGTCAAAGTTTCTGGAAGAAATGGATAGTTTGAGCGATGATGAGCTGAATAGAACAAGAGGCTCCAGTCTTGATACTGATCTTACAGTTGGGAATGAATCTAATGCCATTAATAGTGATCAGGGTATAAAACAAGGAGGCCAAGGTGTAACAGATGATGTAGAAGATATCCAGTCAAGGATGCAGGATTCAGGGAAGTGGTTACAGGAATTCATGGTGGCAAGTAAAGCTAATGTAGTAGAAACAGAAGGTCAATGTCATCAGTCCCCTCTCACTGATCATCTTCCAGCTGAGTTTGAAGAGAAAGTTTCATTTTACCCTGGCTACAAATAATTGGAACTCCTCAGTAAATATGCTATACAGCTTTACCTAAAGTTCAATTTGATAAAAAATCATTATGACAATGACAGATGGAAGAAAATAATACATTTTTGTGAAAGTTGTTAAAAATCTTACAAATTCTATAGGCCTATATATAATTACTTGAAACCATTTATAATTTAACATGAACTGTACTTCAGTACTTACTAATATGATATTTTGATGTTTTATAGTTTTAGATATTAAATTTTTTAGAAGTTATGGTTAAGTTAGACAGTATTCTTTAAATGATAAGTTTTAGATCTGTTGAAGTTATTTTGTTGTATTCATTTCCAGATTGACATTGTGAGGTTTTCTAACATATTATACTGTTAATGAAATGATGTTTGGTATCAGGAATCATTTACTGAAAATGTAAATAGAAAAAAGAATTTCTTGCAAATTAAGTTAATGAAAGATTATATTAAAGTTTTGTCCATGAATGACAGACAGTAAATTAGACTGGAGGTTAAGAGATAAGCCTGTTAATGTTTTTTCCGCCTTTATTTGTTAATTTTCAATGTTAGAAAGATTAAGAACTTCTAATGTTTTAAAGTTGTTGTTGTAGTTAGTTGCTAATTAGATTATGTTCCTTTTAAACAAAAATAAGGTAAAATTTTAGTAGTTAAATAAATATTTGAAATCTAGAATTGTTTTCCAATATTTTTAGTTTGACCAGAGAGCTATTGTACTCACCCAGGTGTCGTTGTCACACTTTAGTTTAGCTTTCGCATGCAAGTTGTATCTGCAAAACTACTGAAGGGAATGGATTGAAACTTCCTACGTTTATTTGAGAGCATAATAGAGGGTCGCTGTCCAAGGCCCATAACAAAAATTTGTACCTTTTTAACCTTTACATGAAATTCTGCATTATCTAAACTCTTGTTTTACTATCAAGCTGTGGAAGTTATTATAATGTCATGTGTGATTACTTCTTACATTAGTGTTTAGTGAAGGAATGAAAGCATAATAAAAATTGGCCTGAAAGTTAATTTTAGAGAATACGCCAAAGATAATTTGAGGATTTTATTTCATTTCAAAGTTAGGCATTAGTAAAAAAGAACCTAAGAATTGTTATGATTTTAGATTTGATATTACCCACATTTCAAGCAATAAAAATGGTGTGAAATAAAAAGAATAATTATAAAACTGGTTTACACAAAACATACATTACTTTATTTATCAGGCATTAAACATTTAAATATTTTATCACCATATCAAATTACATATTGTTCAAATGTATAAAGGCATGTACATGATTAACAATTGTATACAAGTTATAATTAAGTATTTCCCGAAAGTATCTCTTACAATTCAATATCAAATTTCTATAATAAAAAGGCATTATTTATTGTCGCAATTGGAAATTTTTGAGGAATGTACACTAATGTATAAAATTTTCCATTATTAACAGTAATTTAAATAATAGAAAATGAACAATCTAAATGATTATAAGTTTTGCAATTTTTGCTTATTTTCATTATGCAAACAAGAGCATGGTTATAGTTTATCAACACTTGGTCAACAGGAAGTTACAAAAAATACATGTATGAATAGAGTGTTTGTTTGATTGATAATGCAGACCCAATATTGTATAAAAATAAAGATTAAACTAACTTAAGTTCGGCCTTTGAAGTAAATATGTTTAACGGTTTATCCAATAACATGTTTATACCATTGAATAAATACTCCTTGCTGATCCCATGAAATATCTCACAAATTATGAATTTGATTAAATTGTAAGAAAAATATCATATCTTTAGTGCGATAACAGGTTAAACGCTATTTAATGAAATAAGGAGTTAACTCGTTGGGACTGCACTTAAGGTGACGATTTATGACTGATATTATTGATAATAATTTCATACTATCTTGATACTAGTATTAAGTCGGTCAGCCAGCATTTCTGTCCAGTCGCACATGAGGGTCTATTGTTTTCCACTCGATTTTATATTATGACATTGTAATCTGTATTGTTAACTATTTAAAAAAAAATGTTTTCCAGTTCATGACCTTTTTACAGCGCTCTGTGAGAAATTCCAGCACATTCAATAATTCAATTATTGGAGAGATATTGAACAGTTACAAATAGCAGGACATGTCCATTTACACAAATTTAATGGTATAAATAGGTTTAAAACCTCATAAATCAATTTGAAAATTTTTACTCATGATAGCCCAGTCATACTGTATCATCATCCTTTAACAATTTGTTATATATACAAGATCTGTTTGCACTACATGATGTATATACAATATCAAGGTCATTTTGATGTCATATGTACATGTGTGTCTAAATATAGCTACATTATACTATTACATTAGTCTCAAAGTCCAGTATTCTTGTTTGACTTTGAATTAACTTTGTTGAGGTTTTTTTGTCATTAAGTTGAATGGAAAAAGACAAAGGATTTTACTATAAATCAAGTAAGGTTTTTAACAGATTCAAGGTTTTATCATTCATGTTTTTACATGACTATATATATTTTAAATATATGAAAATGTTATTTCAGTGAATAATCATAAAGCATAGGCTATTAAAACATTTATACATAGAAAAATTATTTAAACAAAAGAAAGTGTCTGATTTCCATATCGTGAGGTTAAATATTCAATGGTTTTTTTTGGGTTTTTTTTTTAAGTTTGATTTGTTAAATCAGCCATGGGGAGATAGTTATTTTGATTATAAAATCAACTTTAGATACAAAACTAAAAAAATGTCATTGAGTCACGGAATTTAGGGGTGTTGATAAGGAAATAAATTTTGTTTTAACAAAAAGAAATTATTGTACGAAAGAAAAAAAATAATTATCATGCATTCATTACTAATCTAATAAGGAACTTAATGTTTTAACAGTTAATAGGGTAATTTATACCGTCCAAAATTCTCCTTTTAATTGTTTTTAAATTTAAAAGAAGTTCATTGAATAGAACACCGATTATCTAAGTTGTTTGTTAGATTTATTTTGTACTTTTTGAATTGTGTTCAGAGTCCTGCTATCTGGCACCACTGTTATTTTTTTATTAGGAGCTTTTTCAAGAATGTATGTAACAAAAATACTAAATAAGATGTTAATTCAAAGCATAGAATTTTCTAAAATTCAAATCATTGACTCAATCTTTAATTGGTATTCTTACACTTCTTTTGTATAATGGACTTCACCTGTCTTGAATATAGAGCTGTCCATAATTGCGAGTTGTTTAGGGGTTTCATCAGTATCAAAATACTTAAATTGAGACTGACAGTCAGTAGGAAGTTTGATCGGCCTGCTAGTTTTTGCAGGCCAGAGTTTGGTTGCACTCAGACAAATCATCCTTGCCACAAGCTTTTATAGAATTGAAACATAGAAATTATCTTGTCCTGAATTTTGATGGATGGTTTGAGAAATTCACTAGGAATATTATTTATCCTTATCTGTTAAACTAGTGGCATTAGAACATGTTCAAAGTATGAAATCTTACCCAGCTGATTTTGTGTAATAGACTTCTCCTGTTTTACATTCAGAATTGTCTATAATTAGTCGTAAGGGATTTCAATATCAAATAATGAAGTAGAAAACATTAGAAAACTTTGGTAAGACTATGCTGAATATGCAAGCTTGTCTGACCTGGCTCTATACTGGTAGGCGATGGTGGCACTGGCATGTTAATGATCAATTCATCACAATATCGTAGTTACATATGAGTATGACTGAAAGTATTTGAGAAATGCATGAACACTGTAGCTGTCAGGTGTTTAGTTAATGAAGTAGACAGAAATGTTGTGTCAGTGAAATCATTACCAGTTGAAAATTTAGATGAAATTTCCAAATTCGCTGGGGGAAAAAACAATCAGACAAGTTACAAAGGTAAAAGCACTGTTTAAGAAAATGTTATGATTATGAATTTATTACAGTGTTATCTTGTTGGAATTGTTATTGTATGAATTTATACAGTTTTTTTCACAGTTTCAAGTTGTAGTTGTTATTTTGAATATAGAATTGATTATTTGAATTTATATGCATGTTGTTATAGTTAATGTTTCTCCATTACTGTTGTTATAGTTAATGTTTCTCCATTACCTTGTTTAAATTTATGTACAAGACTTGTTGTGCTGCTCATTGTTTTGAATTAAACAAAAAACTGTTGAAAGTCTTTCAAGGAGGATTGTGTCCAGCCTGACTGCTCAGATGTACATGCTAACCTGGCTTTATGTACACTTGTTGCATTCTGTATAATTATATAGATTTGTCATTGCAACAAATCACATTCTTGAAGTTGTTTGGATGAATAAAAAGTTTGCTCTTAAACAAGTGTTCATATGAAGTGTAAAAGGAAAATACAACCAATCTTCTATGTGGCCCATAGAAATCTGTATTTCATATAAATTAAAATATGATGTGAATTTTACAAAAACAACAACATGCCAGTGCCACATGTAAGCATTCAGCCAGCCTGTACATCTGTGGTCTACCTCATGGCTGGTTAATACTATTATTGGACTATTCCAGTTCAAAGCAGGACAAATCCAGTACACAAATTCAGCAGGGTAAAATTTGAGTCATTTTGTTTAATGTACTGCTTTTGAGTTTATATTTAATTGATTGATTAAGCTAGACTTACCCTGTATGTTAAAGGTTGATCTTAATTTTATCCAACACATAACTGTCTTTGGATATAGAAAAAAAACTTACAATATAAAATCCATCTTCTTAAATAATTAACAACTTTATGTGAATCTATGATCTATAGGTGAATAAAAGCTTTCAATCATGATTTTGATGAGCTCAGGCTTTTATTTTCAATATTTTGTATTTTCATACAGGTTTTGTTTTTCTGTTCTGAAATTGATATTTTTGATTGAGATGCTATCAATATATTGATAAATGTTATTAAAATGTAATGGGCATCTGTTGCCAAGTGGTTTAGGTCATTAGTTTCAAATTACTTGCCACTCACTGCTGTTACGTGCTGTAGGTTTGAATCCCACCAGGGATTTTGGATCCTTTCATGTGAGGAAGTTATCCAGCAGCTAGCTTAAG